CCCGTGTCCCCTGCATCGGCAGGCGGACTCTCAACCACTGCGCCACCAAGGAAGCCCCCAATACTGAGAATTTTGTATCTGGACCCACAGTGGAAGCCTTAATCAGTGCATATAGACAATATGTAACTTTTTTTTTCCTCTTTGGAAGGAAGGTTTTACTTTTAGGAGCCAAGTTTTTATCATGAGAGAAATCAAGGGATTCCAACAGAGTGTCAGTGGGCCACAAGGATTCTATTTGGTGTAGTTGTGTTTCAGGAAGGGGGACCCCTTCCAGGGCCCAAGAGTGGGTTCTTGTCTAACACTCGTAAATGAATTGTCCGAGGAAACACATGTGCTGACAAAGCAAGAGACTTTATTGGGAAGGGGAGCCCGGGCGGAGAGCAGCTGGGTAAGAACCAGGAGAACTGTTCTGCCACATGGCTTGCAGTCTCGGGTTTTATGGTAATGGGGCTAGTTTCCGGGTTATCTCTGGCCAATCACTCCGACTCAGGGTCCTTCCTGGTGGCGCGCGCATCACTCAGCCAAGATGGATTCCGGCGAGAAGGATACTGGGAGGTTGGTAGGACATATGTGTAACAGGGAAGAGCCAAATCTGACTACATGTTGGATCTGTTTGTTTTACTTTAACCTTTGCTTCCCATTGCTTTTGTTCAATAAAAGGATATTGTCTCTACATAATGGCCTGCCTCGGGGAACCCTGCCCCTCTGCCTGAATGTTAAACCAAAGTGCCTTTGTTCAGGGAAACTTCCAGACCCTGTCCACCTGTGGATGGCTGCAAGAAAGAAGAAATTAACACATCCCCTCCGTGAGGCTGGCCATTCCAGGGGTTATTGCAAAACGTATGGCCTTTTTACTTCCTAATCTCCTCCCCGTCTCTGTGCTATAAAAGAAACTGGCATCCAAACCCCGATACGATGGTTATTTTGAGACATTAGTCTGCCATCTTCTTGGTCTGCCAGCTTTCCAAATAAAGTCATATTCCTTGCCTCAACACCTCGTCTCCGATTTATTGGCCTGTTGTGCGGCAAGCGGAGCGAGCTTGGACTCAGTAACATGTGGACTGGAGTCTCTTCTCTCCTTTTGACCTTTCCTGAATTCTTCCGGTTGGTACTAGCTTGTTAGTTCCACATTCTTACCAGGACCTCCTGTTGTAAGATAACTCATGCAAGTGGTTACTGTGATGCCTGGCCAGGGCGGGCAGTTTCGGTCAGTGGTTCTCCTAACGGTTGGAATGTCCTTGTGATCCTAACATTTTATGGTTATCTCTTCTATGCAAATGATGATAACGCAGAAGCATGGCCTATATATCTTCCCATTTCCATTAGGCATCCAATGCATTGGAGGAGCTTTGCTTCATAATTATGGGGACTCTACCAAAGCCCCAGGTAAGGTTCAAATAGTATTTAATTTGTAGGCAAAAAAAATTGCTCAGTGGCATCTTGGAATTCCTCCTGGAAGAAAATATACCCAATTTAGGAAGCATGCCAAGAGGAGCTAGAAGAGCATAAATTGACTTTGGATAAGAAACAAATACTTCAGTTTCTTTGATGCCAGAGAATTTAGGGTTATATTAATGGAGTTTGCAATCATCTAATTGGAAAATGGTATGTCCCCTTCAAGTATAAGATGTGTTCTAGTTCTGATGAGGGAAATTTGAGGTCATTTTGGCTCTTTCTCTCTTCTTGAATCATACTACATTTGGAGAACAGATGCATTTTTCTAAGCCCAGAGGTTAGGACAGTGTACTTTGTCAGAGAGGACATTAAGAATGCAAAAAAAGCAAACTATATTGTCAATGTCGGTTTGAAAATTATATTCTTACTGTGATGTCTCGGTTTTTATTAAAATTATTATTTGATTCTTGTGTGAGAACTTTTTGTCCCAAAGTGAGGCAATGGGAACTTGAAAAGTGGCATGAGGTACCATACCTCAGTTATGTTCTGTATCTTATAGGTAAAGTAATTTTAAAATTACCTTATTAAGGATAAGAGCCTTAGGTTTAGAATGTATTTTTCATTAGCAGTTTAACCTATGATCACAGGTTTGGTCTGCCTTCCATGACTTTCACATATGGTAATTCAAAGAAAACTTGATATTTTGAAAGCATAAATGTTTTCTTAAACTAAATAAGTGTTTACAACTGTATTTTTTCCCAATGTTTTTAATAGTGACATTTTCCAAAACACTTGAGTTTTTTCCTAATTAAGAGAAAATAAATGGCAATGGTGTTTATCCATGAGTTTCTATTTATTTTAAAAGCAAATGAGAAAAAAAAAGAACAACAAAAAAGGAATGATATGTCTTGTCCTTAAAGACAGATTTTTGTAGGGAGAGAGGACTATAAAAAAGTTTATGGAAGAAAGCAAAAATAACTGATAATCTTGTTCTTTTATAACAACTACAAATATTTTGATGTGATTCCTTCTAGTCTTTTTCCCTGAATTTTCTATCGTGTGATCATATCAGTATTTCCTATTCCACCACTACTGAACATTTAGGATGTTTCTAGATTTTCACTCTTATGAATAATGCTGTACTGAAGATCTTTGTTCATACTTTTATTTATAAAGCTTTTGATTAATTGCCCATTTATTTTTAGGGTAATATATGCTTAACCAATTACAGTCTTATGTTTTATGTATAGCATATGTGTCATATATTTTAAAAATTATATAATGTAATCTTATAATAAATTATAAATTTTAAACTATACATTTATATTATACATATTATGATTTTCTAATATAATATAATGACATTTCTATATCTCTCTTTCCAATAGGAAACAGATGAAAAAGATAATACCAAAAGGGTAAGGTGATTTCCATAAATATATACATTAAAAAATAATCAAGGAAACCACTAATTATCTATAGTAAAGCTCACTATTTTTTTAACAGTTCTTATTTCATTATTCGAAGACACAAAAGTTGGCCAATTCAAATGCTGTGGTAAGTTGTAGAATTACTTCTTATTAGTAATCACTAGTATTTTTTTAAACCTGTTTTTGCAGTTTATCTTAATAGAGTAGATCAAAATTCATGTTTTTTTCTTTAAAAGTTGGCATGTGGGTGAACAAATGGAATTCAATATTTATTATACATTTATTTTATATCTCAATAACTACAAGTATATTAAATTCATTCAATTATTCATTCAACAATTATTTACTGGGTATCTACTATGTGCCAAGGACAAGTCTAGGTACTAGAAATATAGCAGTAAATGTCATGCAACTTACATTTTAGAGGAAAGAAAAGCAAATGATTAAATAAAACATATTGTTTTAGATGGTGATTAGTGCAAGGGAAAAACAGACTTATGCAAAGTCATTTTAAGAATTATTTTAAAAGATGATTGTCAAAAGTGTATTTAAATATAACTAGAAATACCACATGTATTCCTAAGAGCTCCTTATTTGTAACTAGGCACTTAATTTGAGAATTTACTCTCTAAGATTAGCCAGATACCAATAACTTGAATTCATTTTACTTCTAAATTGTGTGGTTTTAGTGGTAGTTTTTCTTTTTGTATGCATGGATTTTTAAAATGCTAACCAATCTACTTTGGTGTTTCAATCTAGAATACTTAATAATTACTTGACTATAATATTCTTTCTAAGCTTGTGACTCACTACCATGGACCAATTTATGAAACAAGGAGCATAGTGTATTTTAAACATGTGTTTACCTGTGGGAAAGTAACTGTAACCATAAACTCAGTTTTAAATGTTTATCCCGTTGAATATTCTTACATGTGAGGAGTTGAAAGTTAGGTTATACTGGCTTCAAATGAAATAGGAGTTGAATTGATTAACAAGTAACCACTATATGGGGCTTATAGTAGTCCATTTGATGAATGAATTTAATATTTGTGAGAAGGTTCAATTGAAGTCATGCCTTTCAAATGAAACCGTTATCAGGTAGCCGCATGTCTCAAATGTGCTTTCATTTTCTTCTGCTCGGCATCTTTACATCTTGAGAAAATGTATCTTAGTCACATTTTCCACTAGCAATGACACATTGCCATTTTTTTGTGTCTCCTGTTGTCCTGTTCCACATGTTCAATTTAAATGAAATATATATTTTATAAAGAAGGTTACTAGATGTGTGTACAGTATAATCTTCCAGATAAAAATGTTCATGATGGAAAACTGATTCTCACAGAGTTGGTTTCATGTGTCCCAAATCATTCTGAGTAAGTCTGGAAACAGACAGACAGCTTTTTTGCTTCTCAAAGATGCAGGTGGGTGTTCTCCTTGTTGGCTGCTGCAGATGGAGCTCAGGCCCTCAGGAAAGAGCATCGTCAATAGAATGACCAAGGTCCCAGCATAAAACTGGAACTTTTATTCCATCTCTTGGTTATTCTCCACAGCTCTTTGAAATGCTCACAAAGGACTGTCTTAGGTCACATCTTTCTTGTTCTTTTTTGTCTGGAGCAAGGATGGTGGGTAAAAACAAAAACAAATAGGAAGCCGTCTTTTTGCCCAATGCTGAGAAACCTCTGTGCTCATCACGTGTGTGTGTTCGTGTCTCTCAGTCATCTGTCCTGCATCCGCTGCTGCAGCTCGTTCCACAACTGCATGAGAGAAGAATGAAGAGGTTCAAAGTGGACGTATGTAACACAAACTGCATGCTTGCTTCGCCACTCTGTGTGTGGCAGCCCTTTCTGTTCATTCCCTGTGGTGGTGGTTTATAAGATCTTCTTCTGGGTAAGCCTCATGTGACACCCAGGTAGCCTACAGAAGAGCATCTGTTCGCAGAAGTGTTTTCACACTCAGGAAGAAGAAAACTGTCCTCCTCCCCATTATATGTCCCTTCTAAGCCAGGTTGTGGGCAGTGAGGAAAACCGGGATTAGACTTCCTTCCAAGGGCCGTGCCCCTCCCAGTGAGGAAACCTATTCATTCTTGGTTTAAGAAAGGACATGGCAGTGTGCCTAGTCATTAGATAGGAATAGGAGAAAAGATCAAGGACCATTTACTGCCCCTCTGTGTACAGGTCGGCAGATGGCTGGAATGACAAGCTTTCTATCCAGGTATTAAAGCATTAATAAGAGTAAGGCTCATGAAGTATTATAAATATATCAGACATTAAACGTAGGTATTTCGTTTTTTCCACAGTTAACAAAAATATGGCCCAAACTCAGTGTCTGTGTTTAAGATGAACATAACTAAGAGGAACATAAATGAGTTAACACATTTTTAAACTAGAGACTGTGGCATTTTTATTGTCCTTTGAAAAGAATCCTAACTCTTTCAATGATGAAAGTTTCTAGGCGTTATTTTTAAGTAACGCCTTACACTGTTGGAATGCCTTATAGTTTTTAGTCTTATAGGATCTCATTTTATTCTTTTGACAACTCTGTTGGCACTTAACAAGTATTGTTATCCCCAGTTTACAAAAAGGAACACAACTCAGAATAGTTAAAGGAGTTTCCCAAGATCATAGTAGTAAGTGGGATTAGAGATGATAACAATCTCTTGACTTCCAGTCTAGGCAAATATTTTTTTTTTCACTATGCTGTTTCCTTTGTAGTCTAATCTTGAATATTTCTATTATTTTACTGTTAAACATTTTCTTAATTTAAATACCATATTAATTTTATTCTACTACCAAAAGTTTGCAAATACTTTTAAAAACACATACAGTTTAGGCAAATAAATTCATCAAAATTTATTTTTATGATCACTGTTTCCTCCCTAAATTCTTCACATCGTTGAACTAAGCTTCCATCGTGGAAGACAGTACTGCTGCCAACGTTAATGAGAAATGTAAGAGGAACTGTAGTAGCCCCTTAAAATTTTAGAATTTCCAATATGAAAAAAATGAAATCAGTTTTCATCAAACTTTCTAGAAGTAATATATGCTTTTTTGAATTAACTTTTACTTTCTGAAGAGTCTTCCCGACTTATGAATAGTGTAAGATTTCAATTTAAAGATCCAGTTTCTTAAAATACACCAGCAAGTTATTAGTTTACTACAACACTTCAGTGTTAGTATTTGCAAAATCAAAGCTACTCAGTATTGTGGGCGGTTTGGTACTTTATCTAAATGTTCCACCTTGAGTGAGACTATCTATATTTACAGATAACTATATAGAAGTGTGAACTCTGACTTAGTAGTAATATCTGTTGGATAAATGATAGCTCTTAAAAGTATTTTGCAGCAAGCCAGGTTTTCTAGGAATCTCTAAGAGAAAAAAATGTAAAACATGAATTTTAGAAAATTACAGTAAAGTATTACTTTTGCTGGACCTAAGTCACCTAATTTTAAACCATATTTTTGATAGTGAAATATTTTGGGTTCTTAAATAAAATGAGTTTTCAGATTTTAGTGCATTCAAACCCTTTTCTTACATGTCCTTTGCTAGACATCCTCACTTCCATCCCCACATGTTTTTCAGCTCTACCACCCAAATTCTTTTATATACTGTTCTATCTCCAATAAGACTAAAAAGACCTGTATGTTTGAGTTTGAAATTTTTTAATTTGGGCACATTTTAAGTTACATCTGTCCCACTTTTCTTTTTTTCTGTGTAATATAAAAAACACAGCTGTTCTTATATAACCATATAAAGTTTCTATGTGTACATTTTTCAATATTAAAAATTTCAATCTTTAAAGTAATTTGGGGGCATTTAATAATCAGGATGAGAATTAGATATAGAATGTTGAGAATTTAAGATACATTTGTTGTAAAGAAGGGATTTTAGAATTTTAATAGATGTCAGGGCCATTTCTTAGAATCTAAAAATGTGATTGTACTTATATTATGGAATACTTGAAAAAGGTCTTGATGACAAATTTCATATAATTGCTGTCCTGATACTTTTATAACTTGCTATTGAAAATAGGAAGCTATAAGAAACAACTTTATGGAAATCATAAAATGTTAAATATTTTTTTCCATTAACTTTGAAATGAAATATTTTGAGAAAAGAAACACTTCAAAATACATCCATTATGAATAATCAGTTTGTTCCTATTTGGTTTTTTTTTTTCATTACCATTTCTGTTAATATAATTTTATTGGGAAAAATCTCTTCTGAAGTCTCATTGAATAAATATAGTTTACCAAATTTGTCCCTCAATTTCAATTTAAATTTCTATAGATATATTATGTATTTTAGCTATGACACAATTCTGTTTTATATTTTTGCCTGTTCATGTGTTAGCACATACAATATGTATTGTAAAGAAATCATTTCATTCTAACAAACTGCTGAAGGGAGATTTTAAATATAGTTAATTATCTATGAAATGTCCTCTGCCTACTTATTGATGAATATATGTACAACTGACAAATTTCATGAAAATAGTATCTGTTAGACTAATAAGGAAATTACCTTAAAATACAACACGCTGATGATACTGCTAGTGTCACTGAAAATTCTTCCAGTAGAGATACAAAAATTACTTATTGATATGAATTATATACTCAAGTCCTTGATTCCCTCATTGTTTAATTATGATAGCTGAAAATAACTATACTCTCAAGAAGCATTTGCACTTATTTTTACTGTTGTTTGATTTGTAATGCCCTCATTTTCTCTTCCAGGAAGAATTCCAAGGTCCTATTACAGACCAAAGTAGAGGATTCTTTTTATTCAGGGTATGCACATACTATATTTTTAAAAAAATCAATCAACATTGAAAAATGCTTTCACTGTGCATTTCTTTACATTAACTCATAAGTTTTAATTAAGTTTTGTAGTTTATCTAAAGATATTTGACAGCAAGTGTTACAGTCTGAGATTCACTTCTGTCGCCACCTTATTGCCTTAATATCGTGGCATCTCTGATCTCTTCTCTAATCCACTACTCATGTTTGTAAATACCCCAAATGACATTCACCTATTTCACAGTTTAGTTCCATAACATTTCATGTAGGAAATGGGTGTCTGAAAGATGTATTACTCCTTAAGTTCTAATGAAATATTTAGCTAAAGAAATATTAGCCAATGAAATATTTAGCTAAGGAATTACAACTTTATTATAAAGTCTAAGGAGAGCTGCATGGTAAGATTTGCATTTTGGAAACTAATTCTAACAATAAATTGGAGGAGAATGGACTGAAAGAAGGAGGAAAATAACAGATATAGATAAGGAAGAAATAATACCACTCAACGAGATCATTAGGCTGCTTTCTATGAAAATTAACTTCTCTCCTTAGTTACATTGATTTGTTTCTCACTTATTGTTTTCCAGCCACGCAATGGAAGAAGGTCAGAAGGTTACATTTAAAATGGTATGTGCATCACAATTCAACCCAGTTTGAAAATTTCCATCATTTTCAGATCTTCACAAGTTAACCTATGCTCAGTTTATTTCTATTATTTGATTGCATGTGTACATTAATATTCTATATAAATACTGCAAATATAGAGGCTGTGAGGACTTCATATGATGTAAAATGCTAGTATTTTAGGGCCAGATTTGCTTTGCCCATGTCATGCGTTCCTCACACTATGTCACAATAGTTGTCATCAGTTTTGCAGACACTGACCTAATCATCATTTACTGTGCAAGTAGAATGTGTCAGGGATCATGTTCTTATTTTGGTAATCAGTGTCCACAATAGTGGGCCATAACTTACAGACTGGATGCATTTCTGACTTCCAAATGACCTATATTCAAAGACTCTTTATAAGAGCTGTGATTTACCATTTCCAGAGAACTAAGAAAATGTGGAAAGACATGAAAGCATGACTTCTACTTTGGGACTCCCAGAGTTTCCACCTCAATGCTGGAGATACAGTAGACACTTAGTAGCTATTGAATGGCCCTACACATTTAATAAATGTTAATCTTAATATCTTATTAGGCTATGAATTTTAAAATTAAATGCAAATGCACATTGATAAATTTACACCACAGAAATAAAACTATATTCTACTAACTTTATGTAATCCTCAGTGCAGATTCTACGCTGAACATATTTTTGCAAATATTTCATTCATATAATTTATCTCAACCCTTTAATACATACATATTTAGCTTAAGAATATAAAATTCTTAATATTTTCTCATAGAAACGAAAATCAAAACACGTTATTTCCAACTAAAGAAGATAACACCAAAATTATACAATATCTAGAAAATGAAGATCATGAAAACACTACACGTTAAAAACTTATGGGACTCTGACAAAACCATATTTAGTGGAAAATTTAAGGCTTTAAACACTATCAAGCAAGAAAAAGTGAGTGAATTAGGAATTTGTCATTAAGTTAAAAAGAACAACAAGGTGAACCTCAGGAAAGCAGAGGAAGAAAATTATAAAATGAAAGATGAAATTAATTACTTATAAAATAGTAAAATACAACAATTGGTAAATAAACCAAAAATCTTATTCTTATCAAAATCTTATTCTTTATAAAAAATGAAATAAGCTATCCTAATTTTCCTAGCCTAATCAATGAAAAGAAGAAACCATAAATATACAAAAATACAAATGAAAAGAGGGAAATTAAAACAGATACAGAAGAAATGGGAATCATAAGAGTTCTTTTCAAATCTCTGTGCCTATCAGTTTGAAAACCTAGATAAAATGGAGAATATACAATACAGTAGACGCTACCAAAATTGACCTCAGAAAAAAGAAAAAAAAATCTAAGCATACTGATGGGCTTGGAAAAAAAATCGAGAACGTTATCTAGAAACTCTCCCCTCAAGAGTACTAGGACAAGGAATTTCGGATTTTTCCAGCTCAGAGAAGGAAGAAAAATTTCAAAATATTTTTATGAAGTCAGCAAATACTAATACCAAAACCTTACAAAGTTAGCATAAGAAAGGAAGCTGTAGGTCAATCCTGTTTATAAATATCAATGCAAACATTTAAAAGAAATATTAGTAAATAGTATTCAGCAATACACTGAAAGAATTATATGACCCCATGAAGTGAAGTTCATTCCAGCAACTAAGATGGTTCAATATCAGGAAGTCTATGAAAATATTTTCACCATTAAAAGAAAAATTATACAATCAACTCAGTACAGGCATACCTCCATTTTATTGCACTTTGCTTTATTGTGCCTCACAGATATTATGTTTTTTACAATTTGAAGGTTTGTGACAACCCTGTGTTGAGCAGTTCTATCAGTGTTGTTTTTTCCAAAAGCATTTGCTCATTTCGTGTTTTATGTCTCATTTTGGTAATTCTTAAAATATTTCAAACTTTTTCATTATCATTATATTCGTTATGGTGATCTGTGATCAGTGATCTTTGACATTACGATTGAAATTGTTTTGGGGTGCCATGATCCACGCCCATGTAAGATGGCAAACTTAATTGATAAATATGTGTGTTCTGACTGCTCCACTGACCAGCCATTCCACGGTCACTCTCCCTCTCGTCAGGCCTCCCTATTCCCTGAGACACAAAAATATTTAAATTAGGCCAATTAATAATCCTACAATGGCCTCTAAGGTCTCAAGTAAAAGGAAGAGTTACACGTCTCATTTTAAATTGAAAGCTAGAAATGATTACGCTTAGTGAGGAAGGCATGTCAAAAGCCGAGATAGGCCAAAAGCTAGGCCCCTTGTGCCAAACAGCCAAGTTGTGAATGCAAAGAAAAAGTTCTTGAAGGAAATTAAAAGCGCTACTCCAGTGAATACGTGAATAAGAAATTGAAGTAGCCTTATTGCTGATATGGAGAACATTTCAGTGGTCTGGATAAAAGATCAAACCAGCCACAATGTTCCCTTGAGCCAAAGCCTAATCCAGAGCAAGGTCCTAACTCTCTTCAATTCTGTGAAGGCTGAGAGAGCTGAGGAAGCTGCAGAAGAAAAGTTTGAAGCTAGTAGAGGTGGTTTCATGAGATTCACGGAAAGAAGCTGTCTTCGTAGCGTAAAAGTTCAAGTTGAAGCAGTAAATGCTAATGTAGAAGCTGTAGCAAAATCCAGAAGATCTAGCTAAGATAATTAATGAAGGTGGCTACACTGAACAACAGATTTTCAATGTAGACAAAACCACCTTCTATTGAAAGAAGATGCCATCTAGGACTTCCAAAGCTAGAGAGAAGTCACTGCCTGGTTTCAAAGTTTTGAAGGACAAGCTGACTCTTGTTAGGAGCTAGCGCAGCTGGTGACTGTAAGTTGAAGCCAGTGCTCACTTACCATTCAGAAAACCCTAGGGCCCTTAAGAATTATGTTGAATCTACTCTGCCTGTGCTCTAAAAATGGAAAAACAAAAGCTAGATGACAGCATATCTTATGCAACAAAGTTTATTGACTATTTTAAGTCCAGTATCGAGACTTACGGCTCAGAAAAAAAGATTCCTTTCAAAATATTACTGCTCATTGACAATGCATCTGATCATCCAGGCACTCTGATGGAGATGTACAGTGAGATTGTTTTCAAGCCTCCTAACACAACATCCCATGGATCAAGGAATAATTCCTTCAAGTCTTATTATTTAAGAAATGCATTGTGTAAGGTGATAGCTACCATAGATAGTGATTCCTCCAGTGGATCTAGGCAAAGTATAATAAATTGAAAACCTTTCGGAAAGGGTTCATCATTCTAGATACCGTTAAGAATATTTTTGATTCATAGGAAGAGGTTAAAATAACAGGAGTTTGGAAGAGCTGATTCTAAACCTCATGGATGACTTTGAGGGTTCAAGACTTCAGTGGAGGAAGTAACAACAGATGTGGTAGAAATAGCAAGAGAACTCGAATTAGAAGCGGAGCCTCAATTGCTATAATCTCATGATAAAACTTTAACAGATGAGCAGTTGCTTCTTATGGCTGAGCAAAGAAAGTGGTTTCTTGAGACGGAATCTACACCAGTGAAGATGCTGTAAAAATTGTTGAAATGACAACAATTTCAATGACAGGGATTTAGAATATTACATAAACTTAGTTGATAAAGCAGCAGCAGGGGGACTTCCCTGACGGTCCAGTGGTTAAGACTCCACACTTTCACTGCAGGGAGTGCGGGTCCGATCCCTGGTGGGGGACTAAGATCCTGCACGCCGCTCGGTGCAGCCAAAAAGAAAAACAAAGCAGCAGCAGCAGCAGCAGGTTTGAGAGGATTGACTCCAATTTTGAAAGAAGTTTTACTATGAGTAAAATGCCATCAAACAGCATTGCATGCTATCAGAGAAATTGTCCCTGAAAGGAAGAGTCAATCAATGTGGCAGACTTCATTGTTGTCTTATTTTAAGAAATTGTCACAGTCACCCCAGCCTTCAGCGACTAATACCCTGATCCCTCAGCAGCCATTAACATCTAGGCAAGACCCTCCACCAGCAAAGAGATTATGAATCTCTGAGGGCTCAGTTGATGGTTAGCAATTTTTAGCAGTAAAGTATTTTTAAATTGAGGTATGTGCATTGGTCTTTTTAGACATAAAGCTACTGTGCACTTAATAAACTATTGTATAGTGTAAACATAACTTTTATATGCACCAGGAGACTAAAAAATTTGTATGACTTGCTTTATTGAGATATTCACTGGAACTGAACCTGCAGTATCTCTGAGGTATGCCTGTAGATGCTTTCAGTGAAGTTCCATGTCAATTTCTAATGTTTTCAAAGAAGATCCTGTAGAAAGAGATGAATCTTTATTAACAATATTTATATAATGGTCTGAAACAAAGTCAGTAGAAGGCTTGATAGTAAAACATTTTAGAGTATTTCTATTAACATCAGAAACAAAACAAGGATGCTCTGTTCTCTTTTATTTCATATAGTTCTTATGCATTAGCCAACTCAGACAAGAAAGTAATAAAAGATACAAATATTGGAAAAGTGAAGAAAAAATTTTATGTTCTCATGGGGCATAATTATGAACTTGAATTTTTAAACTATATTTGGTATTAACTTATGTTTCAACAAAGGCTTGTTATGTTCACATCAAGAATATGAGCAGGGCTTCACTGGTGGCTCAGTGGTTAAGAATCCGCCTGCCATTGCAGGGGACACGGGTTCGAGCCCTGGTCCAATAAGATCCCACATGCTGCAGAGCAGCTAAGCCCGTGAGCCACAATTACTGAGCCTGTGCTCTACAGCCCGTGAGCCACAACTACTGAAGCCTGCGTGCCACAACTACTGAAGCCCGCGTGCCTAGAGCCCGTGCTCTGCAATAAGAGAAGCCACTGCAATGAAAAGCCCGTGCACCACAACGAAGAGTAGCCCCTGCTCGCCACAACTAGAGAAAGCCCGTGTGCAGCAACAGAGACCCAACGCAGCCAAAAATAAATAAATAAATTTATTTTAAAAAAAGAATATGAACAATCATATTCCTAATTTTTCTTGTTTCAAGGAACTAAGAACAAAAAGTTAATGGAAAAGAACTGTATTTTATAATATTACAAATGTTGAGGCATTTTATAAAATGTGAACAAAAAATAGTTTAATACTAAATGGAAAAAATGTCTGATTTTAACACTAAGTGTTAGAGTGCTCATAAATGTGAAATGGAACTTAATCCATGATTTGATCAAGTTAGCAAAAAGTTCTCTCTGAAACTGAGAAAAATAGCTTTATTTGGATTGTTTCCAAGATTAGGGCCCACATATACTAATTCACTCAGGATTTCATTTTATCTTGTCAATAGAGAAACACTTCAGTAATAATTTTTCTTTGTTTTTCTCATCTGATTATCTGAGATCTTACTCTGTCCTGGTGACTTATATTTATTTAGACTATGGTTAGATATAAAATAGGATGATTTAGTCACAAATCCATGAGGAATAAATGCAACATATTCATAAATCTTATTGGCATCAGTGAGCTTTAGGAAACGACTTTTATACAGTTAAATAATTTTTGTAAAACTTTGGAAAATACTGGCATACAGAATAAGCATTTCATCAGAGAGAGATTAAATGATAATTAAAAATCTGCAGATTGAAGTATAGCTGAGAAATACCTCAGGTGTCAATTTTATCATACATGACGAAATATTTATAGAAATGTCTATATATAAAGGAAGTGTACATAGACTTGTATATATGCTCATTATATACATACATTCATATACCCACTTATACTTGAGTCTAAATTCAATTTTTTTTTAACAGGATGCCAACTGTTTTCTGCAGAAACAACGCTATGGAATACAAGACGTACTGACATTGTTTTTCTTCTGAAAAACAACCCTTGCTAAGTTTAACATGTTTGAGAATCCCTGTGTTGCAAGCATTCTCAGTAAAAGTCGACTGAGATTGAAATGTTTAATTTGTTGAAAATTTAAAAAGCATCTTAAAATATTTTTTCTTAGTGTTGTAATGATAGATAGTGTGTAATAAAGCTGTGAATAATTATGTTCCTTAGATCCTTGAGGCTGTTGATGATCCTCATATACAATGCTCTTTTGATATTTTTATTAAAGGCAGTTAGTAGAGCTGAGTTTTAATGAGCGATTTTAGTTTATTCTACTTGGATTTCTTCAGTGACAAAATCACCAGCTCTTACAAAATACCAGAATGCCAAATAGCTAACAATCTTAGAACATGAATACCAACTAAAACTATACTAGTTGGAAGATTTGGCCATGATCCATCCAATATTCCAATAAACAAGTTCTGATATATACACTGTAAAATAGATGTCTTATTGCTACTAACATAACAAGAGGCCAGCTTTTCCTACCAAGTAGTAGTATTAAGTTTATCTTTTTTTTTTATTGGAATATAGTTGATTTACAATGTTGTGTTAGTTTCTGCTGTACAGCAAAGTGAGTCAGTTATACATATACATATACCCACTCTCTTTTAGATTCTTACCCCATATAGGTCATTACAGAGTATTGAGTAGAGCTCCCTATGCTATACAGTAGGTTCTTAGTTATCTAGTTGTTTCACCTTGCAGCATCTGAAAGGCAACCAGCCTTGTCCAAAAAGAATGCAGTCTTACTGGTAGAGAATCATGAACACAGTGGGTGAACTTTTTACATCAAATCAGTGTCTAGTGGGCACAATTAACCTCATATGGATGTTGAGATTCTCTCCCTTCAGGTTCCCCTGGGTTTTCCCTTCAGATTCCCCTGGATTTTCCCTTCTGACCTGGCCTCTTGGATAACCGCCTACTCTACCAGCCGGTTGCTGGCTGATTAGAGAAGGCTGGCTCTCTGTGTGGATAGGATTAGTTCTTACATTGTTCAGAGTACCTAACAAGCCTTTGTCTTACTAATGATGACCCCTGATTATAGCTTAAATTATGCCTTTTTCTAACAGAGTCCCTGAATTTCACTTCTTGTCAACCCACGTGAAGAACATGAGAAAGAAGGAGCAGAAGAGAACAAAAAGTATCTTCTTTAAAAAATGAATTGCCTAGATGAGGTGCGGACTTGAGACAGAGAATGTTGCCAGAGCTGCTCCGGGTCTTTGCTCAAAACCTGCCAACCCCCACTTTTAGCAAGAGTTAACATAAATCTTTAAAGGGTCCAGAAATAAAAAAGGAAACTACAAACAAACAAACAAAAACCAGATGGATCCAGCTAGGACCAAGATGGTGACAGATCTGACCTCCAACAGACCCTGAATCTCATTATATGCTGATTTTACTACATTTGCATATTAAATGACACACCTACTGGTGGCCAAGACTGGATATTAAGGACCAAAAAAGGATAAAAAAGGGTGGCACTCCATTCCCTTGGAAAAAACGCTGCCTCTTCCCCAGTAGACTAATGTATATGCCTCCCCATCATTAACCTCACTCCTCCTCCCTTTGTCTTTACTCTTTAAAATTAAAGCCCTCTGGACACGTGGGCAAGAAGTAGATCTGTGAACTTAGTTCCTGCTTCTCCATTCTTTGGCCACTGAATAAAGCTTGTGCTGCGTTGATCTCAGCTTTGGCTTCGTTATTTGGCTGCTCGAATGTGAATGGAAAAAGAACCCTCCCCCCTCCAAGGCAGAGAGCCATTGCCCAGCTAGGGGCTGAGCAGGGTCCATAGGACTTAATTCTGTAACAAAAGGGCTCTAAAGCTCTAAATGCATAGGCAGTGTTAGCTAGTGCTATGCACAGTAATTCAACTAGCCTGGGTTTTAGATTGTCAAAATAAGAAAGGGAGTTGACTGCTAATTCAAGCAGCAGCTCCCAGGGCCTGTCAGTAATCTAGAGAGACTTGGGCTGCTTACATTTTGGGGGGCTCCCCTACTATTAAAAAGAAGAAGGAGAAGAAGAAGAAAGAGGAGGAGTAGAAGGGGAATGAGGGAGAAGGGGGGGAGGGGAGAGGAGGAGGAGGGGAATGAGAAAAAGAAAACAAAACATGGTTACAAAAATAGTGTGATGTTTTAAAATATTTTATATTTAATATTAATATTTTACACACAAAACAAAACACATAGGCTATTAGGAGTGTACGATTTGTATTAACTGGGCACTACAGACCGAGTAGTCCAATGCTGAGCCCAAGTTTAAAACTGTCACTAAAAACACTTTTTCTTCTTTTCCAAATCTTTTCGCATCTTTGTGACCATGGGTATAACCTTATTTGGCAATAACATCATATGTTTTCCTCACGTTCCTGGCAGCTCCCAGTAAACACCCTTCCCTTCATCTAAACACCAAGGAACCAAACTGCCTAGGTTTCCTACCTAAAGTCTGAGCTTCTGTCTCCTAAAGCAATGGGTTTTTAAGGTGGCGGCAGAGAGCCATTTGAGAATCTGATGAAAGCTCTGGTCCTTAAATACCCCTCAAAATTTACACATACAACACAATTATGTGTGCATCGAGGGGTGGGGCTAGGCACCCCCTGAAGTCCATCCAAATATAGGCTATGGGTTCCACGTTAAGAACTTCTACTCTGAAGAGTTCTCTCCCCAGGATTTTGTTACTTCTCCATGAAGACAGGACTCAGGGATTGAACGGTGCCGGAGGCACGGAAACAACGCGTGATTTTGGAGGTGGTGGAGGGAAGGGTGGGAGGAATGCCGGCACCAGTATCATGAACGGAAGAGGCGCTGCTTCGGATAAATGCCCAAGACCAGGTGCGTCAGTACCCACAGCCACCTCCTAGGCCACGCCTCCGCGTTGCCTGGCAACAGAGCTGCGCCAGGCGCACGTGCGTCAGAGGCCCTTGTTCTCCCGTCTCCCTCCCCGTGGGCAGTGGGAACAGCTAGGACCTCGGCGGGCTCCCCTGTGGCTTCGAGGGGACGTCGGAGCCAGGAGTCCCCGCCAGGAGTTAGACGACACCGGCGTGTGAGGGGCGAGGCGGAACACCATGCAGGTGGGAGTCGCGGCCTACGGCGAGCCTGGACACCCCGGCGGGGTCCCTGGCTGGGCCTGAGGCTGAGCAAGATGGGGAGGGCGGCCTACAGGGGTTAGGTTCTAACATTTGTTTTCAGCTTGCGTCTCTGTCACGATTGGAGAGAAATTCAAATTACCTCTAGGAGAACGCCGTTTTTTCAACACTCAAGAAAGACTTCCGTTTGTCGCTGGAGAAAGCCTTTGGATTGCGTTTCACACCTATATCCTGGAAATCTTACTGCTGCGCTATTTCTGACTTAAGAAATAGACCATCAGCTTTAGCCCAAGTGTAATTAAATTTAAGTATCCTGCCCCACTACATTTTAAAAAGGTCAGAGAGGAAACCCTAATAAGTCGCATATGTCTTGAGAAAAACCAGCTGTCCCTGGAGTTTCTCCTACCTGATCACAAAAACTCTGTTAAACTTCCATTAATTCGTAAGAAGGTTGCTCCTCTATCTAAAGCTGCATTATTAAGCAGAAGGCTGTGCTTTTATTTCCTTTTTTTAATCAGAGTAAAATTCTCATTTCCAACTTCAGAAAAGCTTCTTCCCACCTGCTATCCCAGATTAAAACCACTGTGATTTTTCTAGTTTTACATATTTAATTTTGGAAATCGTTTATGCTGTATAATTTATTAGGATATTTTGAACACAAATTACATATAATTTTAAAGGATATTCCTTTTGTGTTAATAATAGATTCCTAGCAAGTGCGTTTTATTCCCTATGTAAAAACATTGCAAATTTGTCCTGATTTTTGTCTGCTCTTCAAGAAATAGGCTGAAATGTAACTGAGAGTAGAGACGACAGCATATTAATCTTTGTTCATTTATTTATTCATTGATTTATTCAATAGCCAGTTTATTCAGTGCTTATGTGTAGTTGTGGACTTGTTCTAAAAGAGCTTACTGTGGGGGAATAAGAGAGTCAGATATAACTGTGTCATGATAAATGCCATAATACCTTTATCAAATAGATTGCGGTGCCTATTTCTACTTCTCTTATTACAATTTCATAGATAATTTTTAAAAGTGAAGGGAAGATCAGAGTATAGAGCATTTACTATTAACTCCCATTGCAACTAACTCCTAGATCAGTTAAGGAAGAGCAGTCACGGAGAGGTATGAATAAAACCATAAGTATGTGATATCATGAATATCAAGAAAGAGTGTTTTAACAAGAAGAGAATGACACACTCTCCCCAGTTCTGCCTTAGAGATCAAATACAATGAAAATCCATTGAAAATAACAATATGGAGCTCATTGGTGACCTTAGAACAGTTTTGAAAGGGGTGTTGGAGGTAGAAGCCAAATTTGGAGTAGGTTGAAGAGTGAATGGGAGGTGGAAGTGGTTACAGCATATATAGACAATTATTTTATGAAGTCTGAGTAGGAAGGAGAAAAGAGAGATAGGGTGGTAGGGGGTGCAAAGTGCAGGGAGGGTTTTTTAAAAAGGTGACTGCTGGATTTTCTGATAATAGAGGGCTCAGTTATTTGGACCAACTCTCCTGCTGAATACAAGTAAAAATGCTGGCTAGAATGTAAAACCTATCTCCTTAAAAGCATCAGAGATAACGTGATAGTAAACGATGAGACCAAAATCAAAGGGAAAGTGGAAAAGCAGGTGAATGGATTTCCAGAGCTTTAAAGCCAGTTTTACCACAAGGCCATCTTAGCAATCTGCAGTTCGTTCCTGGGTGTAATCACAGGGTGACGAGGAATCAAAGGGTATGGTCCATGAAAGCATGGGAAACTAATAGGAGTGTGAACCAGATATAAACCCATGTCTAGAGGAATTCAGGGAAGGTCATCTTGATGCCTAGTGGAGCAGGGGAGAAAAAGAAAAGCAGTACAACCTATCCCCAAGAAGGTGTGGCTCAAGAGAGCTCTCACATAGATTGCAACCTAAGGCATATTGTCTGGGTGATCCAACAAACTTCAAACTGTGAATGTGATATAAATTAGTTATATACTGTAGTGCTCGTAAATACCTGGAAGAAATAGCAAATCCTCGTGCAGGAAGACATCTTTATGTTAGAATTCATGGAGATAAGTTTTCAAGGACATCAAGCAGAAATCAGTCAAAAGCAACCAAGGGAACAGGGCACAAGGGAACAGGGTACAAGGGAACAGGGCACAAGGGAACAGGGCACTATGAGTATGAACCAACAAAAACAGACTTGCAGAGACTTCAGTTATCTGAATGATCAGAAACAGGTATAAAATAACTATGCTTATTATGTTTAAAAAAACGAAAGACCAAATTGAAATTATCTTCAAAGCATAGGAGACTGTAAAAAGTGACCATAAAATTTGATGAAGACATTTCTATACACTACAATGAATAATAAGAAAGGAAATTAAGAAGACAATTCCATGTATAATTGCATCAAAAAGAATAAAATACTCAGGAATAAACATAAACAGGGAGGCAAAAGACTTGTACACTGAAAACTACAAAATGTTGCTGATAGGATCAGTGTCCTTATAAGAAGAGGAAGAGACACTAGAGCATGCTCTCTCTCTTTGCACACACACAGAGGAAAGGCTATGTGAGCACACAACAAGAAGGTGGCCTCCTGCAAACTAGGAGAAGAGTTCTCACCAGTAGCAACCCTGCTGGCACCTTGATCTTAGACTTCCAGCCTCCAGAATTGTGAGAAAATAAATTTCTATTTAAGTCACCTGGTCTGTGATATTCTGTTATGGCATCCCAAGCAGACTAACACAGGCTGCTTGAGTGTCCTCAAAACACGGCAACTGGTTTCCCCCCAGAGCAAGTGATGAGAGAGACTGAGAGGAAAAAGCAGCAGCAGTGCCTTTTGTGGCTTGGTCTTAGAAATCACGTAGTGTCACTTCTATCATATTTTCAGTTTATTAGAAGTGAGACAGCAGGTTCAGCGTATACTCAATGGAAGTGGGTTAAGCTTCAACTCTCAAAAAGGTGCATGAAAGAATTTGTGAATATATTTTAAAATTATCACAATAGTTTAAAAGAAGATTAGATATAGTTGAGGGCGTTTTACAATCATATGGCATGGGGTAGCAGAAAACTTCCATTTTAATAGAGATGTTGGAGGGCAAATTCCTGGGCTGGTAGAGTGGTGGGAGAATCGTGAGGAAGTCTCAGAAAGGAAATAAACACAGAAGGGATGATCCTTAAATTCTGCATATAAAATCCACACAAATCCTTATTTGTCAGCCAAACTCCATATATATATAGGAGGTCCCAAGGTGCCTGGCAAAAAGCAACCATTAGAAGGTCAAAGAACTAAACTGATCTGAGGTTTTGGCTGCTGCCCATTTCAACTGAGGTAGTTTGATGTTTGAGTCCAACGAAGTTAACTGCCTTCAAGTATGAAAATCAACATACTTTAGAGGAACATAAAAAAATCATAAATTTCTATGATGTATCATCCTGAATGTCTAGTATGCAATAAAAATTATATAAGCAAAAAGAAAAAGAATGAAAAGCCATATTCAAAATGTGACTCGTATTCAAAAGCAAAGCAACCAATGGAAACAAATCCTGACACTATCCAGATGTTGATATTAGCAAATGAAGAATTTAAAGCAGCTATTATAAATATATTCAAGGACTTAAAGGAAAATGAATTAACAGTTGGAGAATCATAACAGAGAAATAGAAACAGTAATAAAACAAATGGAAATTCTTTTTTTTTTACATCTTTATTGGAGTATAATTGCTTTACAATGGTGTGTTAGTGTCTGCTTTATAACAAAGTGAATCAGTTATACATATACATATGTTCCCATATCGCTTCCCTCTTGCGTCTCCCTCCCTCCCACCCTCCCTATCCCACCCCTCTAGGTGGTCACAAAGCACTGAGCTGATCTCCCTGTGCTATGTGGCTGCTTCCCACTAGCTATCTATTTTACGTTTGGTAGTGTATATATGTCCCTATGTATGTCTCTAGTCCCTATGTCCCTATGTTTCTAGTAGGTCTGTGTCTTTATTCCTGTATTACCCCTAGGTTCTTCATGACATTTTTTCCCGTATATTCCATATATATGTGCTAGCATACGGTATTTGTCTTTCTCTTTATGACTTACTTCACTCTGTATGACAGACTCTAGGTCCATCCACCTCACTACAAATAACTCAATTTCGTTTCTTTTTATGGCTGAGTAATATTCCATTGTATATATGTGCCACATCTTCTTTATCCATTCATCTGATGATAGACACTTAGGTTGTTTCCATCTCTGGGCTATTGTAAATAGAGCTGCAATGAACATTTTGGTACATGACTCTTTTTGAACTATGGTTTTCTCAGGGTATATTCCCAGTAGTGGGATTGCTGGGTCATATGGTAGTTTTATTTGCAGTTTTTTAAGGAACCTCCATACTGTTCTCCATAGTGGCTGAACCAATTCACATTCCCACCAGCAGTGCAAGAGTGTTCCCTTTTCTCCACACCCTCTCCAGCATTTATTGTTTCTAGGTTTTTTGATGATGGCCATTCTGACTGGTGTGAGATGATATCTCATTGTAGTTTTGATTTGCATTTCTCTAATGATTAATGATGTTGAGCATTCTTTCATGTGTTTGTTGGCATTCTGTATATCTTCTTTGGAGAAATGTCTATTTAGGTCTTCTGCCCATTTTTGGAATGGGTTGTTTGTTTTTGTGTTATTGAGCTGCATGACCTGCTTATACAGTTTGGAGATTTGTCAGTTGCTTCATTTGCAAATATTTTCTCCCATTCTGAGGGTTGTCTTTTGGTCTTGTTTATGGTTTCCTTTGCTGTGCAAAAGCTTTGAAGTTTCATTAGGTCCCATTTATTTATTTTTGTTTTTATTTCCATTTCTCTAGGAGGTGGGTCAAAAAGGATCTTGTGGTCATTTATGTCATAGAGTGTTCTGCCTATGTTTTCCTCTAAGAGTTTGATAGTTTCTGGCCTTACATTTAGGTCTTAAATCCATTTTGGGCTTATTTTTGTGTATGGTGTCAAGGA